TCCTGTGAGGCCTCTGCTCCTTGACGGCCCTGCTCTGTCCCAGGCATAGGGTGACACCAGGAGGAACAACAACAGTGGCAGCGGACAGCTCTCCAGCCCTGGAATCAGCTACCACAGAAACTACCGTAGCTCCCAGTCCATACTGGCCTGCATGCTCCCGGGGGCGGGGGGCGCTGAGCTGCACAGCTTGGGGGCTCCCCCCCTGCGGCAGGAGCGTCCTCGCTGTCCTGGGCCCTCCCGCCTCTGTCTGTCCCGGGGGGCGGGGGAGCGCACGATCCTGGGTTATGTTCCCAGCGTCCTGGGCTCTGGGTCCTGCACCGCTGGAATCGCTCCCAGGCTGCACAGCCCCCTCCTCTCGGAGCTGCCACCTGAGCTTCCCCCGAGGCCCCGGTGGCGCGCGCTCTAGGCCTTTACCACGCTGGGCCCACAGGGTGTGGCGTGCTCTCCCCCAGGGCGCACTTCCTCTGTTAGTGACCCCGGGAACCTGGGGGCTCCACTGCCCCTCCTGGGATCCTGCCCGAGTCCCCTGCGAGCGCCTTTCCATCCAGGAAGATTTTTAAAGTTCCTGCTTCTCTTGGCCTGGGCTTTCCTGTCCTGGGGGCTCTTGCTGCCCCCCTTAGACCGGCTCCTCACGGGAGTCCTCCCCCACTGGATTCTTTTTTATTTTTTCCCCGTCTTCCTACCTTGTTAGAAGCACAAACTCTTCTCTCTGTAGCATTCCAGCTGTTCTCTCTTTAAATCTCAGGCTGAATTTGTAGGTTTTCAGGATGATTTGTAAGTTATCTAGGTAAGTTAGTGGGGACAGGTGACTTGGGGACCCTACTCTTCTGCCATCTTGCCCCGCCCCCCTGATTATGATGTTTTCTGGTGTGGGTTTATTTTCTTTCTTTTGCTCTCTTTCTTTGCTTGTATATGTACAACTCTTATAAACATCTTTATTGTATTTTTTTCCAGCTTTACAGAGATATAATTGATACATTATATTGTGTAAGTTTAAGGTGTACAACGTGTTGATTTGATACATTTAAAAATTCCAAAATGATTGCCCTCATAATATTACCTACCACCTCCATCTTGTCACATAGTTACCTATTGTTTTTTGTGATGAAAAGATTTAACATGTATTCTGTTAGCAACATTCAAGTATATGATACAGTGTTGTTAGCTATAATCACCTGCTTTATATCAGATCATCAAACTTGTTAATCTTATAACTGGAAGTTGTGTCTTTTGATAAGTATCTCCTCATTTTTTTCCAACTCCCCGACTCCTGGTAACCATCAGGCTACTCTGTTTCTCAGAGTTTGTCTTTTTTAGATTCTAGGTATAAGTGATATTATACAGTTATGTCTTTCTTTATCTGACTTACTTCTCTTATCATAATGCCCTCAAGGTCCATCCAGGTCGTTGCAAATGACAGGAATGCCTTCCTTCTCATCGCTGAATAATATTCATATATATACATATATGTTCTTTATCCATTCATCTATTGATGGACACTTAGGTATTACAAGTAATGATGCAATGAACATGAATATGCATTTACTTCTGCAAGATCTTGATTTCAGTTCCTTTGGATATATACCCAGAAGTGATTGTTGGATCATATGATAGTCCTATTTATTATTTTTTGAGAAACCTCCATACTGTTTTCCATAGTGGCTGTACCAATTTGTATTCCCACCAAGAGTGCACTAGGGTTTTTTTCTTCCTCTACATCTTTGCCAGTACTGCCATTTCTTTACTTTTTTATTCATGAGAGACAGAGAGAGAAAGAGAGAGATGCAGAGACACAGGCAGAGGGAGAAGCAGGCTCCATTGCAGGGAGCCTGATGTGGGACTCGATCCTGGGTCCCCAGGATCACGCCCTGGGCCAAAGGCAGCGCCAAACCACTGAGCCACCCGGGCTGCCCTGCCCCATTTCTTATCTTCTCGATTATAGTAATTCTGACTGGTGTAAGGTGATAGCTCATTTTGGTGTTGGTTTGCAATTCCCTGATGATTTGTGATGTTGAGTGCTTTTTCATGTACCTGTTGCCCATCTGTGTGTCTAGACAATTGTATATTTTAGCTTCTCTGCCAATGTTTAAATTAAGTTGTTGTGTTTGGGACGCCTGGGTGGCTCAGTGGTTGAGTGTCTGCCTTTGACTCAGGGAGTGATCCTGGTCCAAGGATCAAGTCCCACATTGGGCTCCTTACGAGGGGCCTGCTTCTCCCTCTGCCTTTGTCTCTGCCTCTCATGAATAAATAAATAAAATCTTGAACAAAAAAAATTGTTGTGTTTTTGCTGTTGAATTGTAAATAATTTTTATAAATTTTACATATTAACCCCTTATCAGTTATACAACTTGCAAATATTTTTTCCCATACTGTGGGCTGCCTTTTCATTTTGTTGTCTTTTGCTGTGAGGAGCTCCTTAGTTTGAGTTAGTCCTATTTATTTATTTATTTATTTATTTATTTATTTATTTATTTTTATCAGAGATTTTATTTATTTTCTATCCTAGGACCCTGGGATCATGACCCAAGCCAAAGGCAGATGCTTAACTGAGTCACCCAGGTATCTATTTATTTTTGCTTTTGTTGCTTGTTTTTTGTTGTCACATCCAGCAAAACCAATGTCAAGGAACTTTATCCCTATGTTTTCTCCCAGAAGTTTTACAGTTTCAGGTTTTAAATTTTAGTCTTTAATTCATTTTAAATTCATATTTTTGCAGTGTTGTATTGGTGTAGTTTTCTTTGGGTTAATCCTGTTTGAGGTTGACCTATCTTCTTAAATCTGTAGATTTATGCCTTTCACAAATTTAGGTAATTTTGATCTGTCATCTCTTCCAATATTTTTTTAGTCACACATTCTCTTCTCCTTTTGGGACTCTGATTACATGAACCCTAGCTCTTTTGCAGTGCCACAGGTTCTTGAAGCTCTCTTTCTTTTCTTATTTTCCAGCCTATTTTCTGTCACTGACATTGGATAATTTCTATTGATCTATTTTTGAGTTCACTGATTCTTTACTGTCATTTCTATTCTGTTATTGAACCTATGCAGTGAATTTTATATTTTTCAATGCTAAAATTTAATTCTATAATTGTTTATTAAATTTTTAGTTCAAAAATTTCCACTTCATTCTTTCTTTATATCTTGAATTTCTTTGCCAAGATTTTCTATTTTATCAAGTGTATTTGTAATTTCTTGTTGAAGGTTTTTTAAAGTCTGTGTCAAAAATCCCAAAATCTATATCATTTCAGTGTAGTATTGTGTCTTTTTTCTTTCAAGTTGAGATTTTCCTGGTTCTTAGTATGATGAGTAATTTTTGACTGTGTGCTAGACATTTGGTATATTGTGTTATGAGACTCCAGATCTTATTGAAATCTTCTACTATAGCAGGTCTCTGCTAATACTGCACCATTGAAGTGTGTGTGTGTAGGGGATATTATCTTCTCACCCCTAGGTCCAGGTAGAAGCCCAATCTTCCAATTCTTTTTTTTTCCAAGATGGTTGGCTCAAGTAGGGTGGATATTGTCAAAAAAGATTTCTGCCTTGGTAGGTCACATCTTTATCTCTTTCTTGATCCTTTGGATAAAGAAAACAGTTTTTGGGGGATATTTTTTTGTCTGCACCTGTTGGCATTTCTTGGTTGTGAACTTTCCAGTGCCCAATCTAAGATAAATAGGAGGCATAAAGAAAACCCAGGGAACTTACCACAGTATCAATCCTCAAGTTCTGAGGACTGTAACTATTTTGCCTTCTCTCTACCTTTTAGACTTTCCAAAAATTGTTTAAAAAATATATTATGCCCAGATACTTTAGTTATACTTAGCAGGAGCAATAGAAAGAAATGAATCTACTCCATATGGTACAGAATTAAAAATCCTTTTATTAAAAAAAATAAAAAAATAAAAATAAAAATCCTTTTATTAAAAAAAAACCCCAACAACATAGAAATAACTGTTTGGACTTGGGTTTGGACTTGGGTCTTTAAAGCTGCTGTTTTGATTGTGTAAATGGAAGAGTTGGGGAGGGATAATTTGTCTTTTTGTCTCCAGCAATGAATGAGTAGGGAGAGTACTTTGGTTTTTTGATGTAGCAGGTGTTTTGCTTTGAGTAAATAAAAAAGTTAACATTTACCTGGAGCTAGTAGAATTAGGATATGAAACGGGGCCTGGGAGAGTTCCTGACCAGGTTGATGTTCTACGTCTCTTTTGTAAGCTGTGCAATTAATGGAGCAAGTGTAGTTTCTTCCTTGTTAATTGGTATGCTTCCTGTATTTCCCCATGACCTCTCTGGTTCTGGTGTTTATTGTATACATTTATGCTGTATGTTCCTAAATTGGGTGAATCTCCTTTAAAAGAGAAGGAAACAGCTCCTCTACATCCTCTTTTCATTACAGGTGCCTCCTAAACAGTCTTACACACTGTAGGGGGTCACCAGTATCTGAAACAGTTATCCTTTCTCCTGTGAGCCTGGGTAGCAAAAGCTGGTCCTCCTCATATGCAGCCACCCTGCTTTCAGACCTTGAAGAGTAGACTCTGCACTATGAAAGATAGCATTTCCCCAGGGCAGACCTGTCTTTAAAAAGCACTGAGCTCAAGGTGAAGACCCACAGTGGCTATGCAACCCACCAGGAGCTGTTTATAGAAATCTCTTCCTAGGATTTTTGTGTTTGAGGGTCATCTCACCATCATAAGCCATAAACCAGAGCTCGCATCCTTGTTTTTTGGTTGCCAGCCATTCCTCACTCCTCTGCTGACTCTCTTCTATCCACCCACTCTTCTTCCCCCAGTAGAATAAATGTGTTTGTTGCATGAATGTACACGTGGATGAGTGAATGGAGGAAAGATGAATGAGATAGTATGAATGAACTTAGAAGCTACAAAGGTGCCGGAAACGCAGAAATTCTCATGAGTTGCAAATTTATTGACTGAGGATGTCCCGGGGTTGGGAGGTAGTTGTACAGAAACCAAAGAGGAAAAAATGCAGAACGAGATGCAGCCCCAGAACTCAATGGCTCCGGTGTTAACACCTGAAGGATTTGGGAACCTCAGGGCAATATCGTGAGAGCGCTAAACCCACTGGCGCCCACGGAGAACACCTCCAGCTCTTTCTTCTCCATGGCTTCCCACCGGCCTTACTTGGCTGGCCAGGTAGGCGCCTGCTTCTGCTGGGTCTGGTGGCATACCGGGACGCCCTTGCCACCCCCGGAGGAACCGCTGCTCCCACCACTGGAGAAGCAGCCCCCGCCGCCCCCGGACCCGGAGGAGCCGCCGCCGCAGCCGCCGCCGCCGCCGCCGCCACCCCCACAACTGGAGAAGCAGCCGCCGCCGCCCCCGGACCCGGAGGAGCCGCCGCCGCAGCCGCCGCCGCCGCCCCCACCACTGGAGAAGCAGCCGCCGCCGCCCCCGGAGGAGCCGCCTCCGTAGCTCTGCTGGGGCGTGCACGAGGTCTGGGTGGTCTGCTGCGACGAGAAGTAGCCGGAGCCGCCCCCGGAGGAGCCCCCGCCGCAGCCGGAGCCGCCGCTGGACACACCTCCGTAGCTCTGGCACTGGACCTGCTGGCCGGAGCCGCTGCCGCCGCCGCCGCCGCCGCCGGAGTAGCCTCCGCAGCCGGAGCCGCCGCCCCCGGAGCCGCCGCCGCAGCCGGAGCCGCCGCCGCCCCCGGAGCCGCCGCCGCCGCAGCCGGAGCCGCCGCTGGAGCCGCCGCCGGACACACCTCCGTAGCTCTGGCACTGGACCTGCTGGCCGGAGCCCCCGCCGCCGCCGCCTCCGGAGTAGCCTCCGCAGCCGGAGCCGCCGCCGCCCCCGGAGCCGCCGCCGCAGCCGGAGCCGCCGCCGCCCCCGGAGTAGCCTCCGCAGCCGGAGCCGCCGCCGCCTCCGCCCCCAGAGTAGCCTCCGCAGCCGGAGCCGCCGCCGCCCCCGGAGTACTTGGTGCTCCCACCCGAACCTCCTCCGGAGCCGCCGCCACCGCAGCCGGAGCCGCCGCCGCCCCCGGAGTAGCCTCCGCAGCCGGAGCCGCCGCCGCCCCCGGAGTAGCCTCCGCAGCCGCCGCCGCCGCCGCCCCCGGAGTAGCCTCCGCAGCCGGAGCCGCCGCCGCCCCCGGAACAGCCTCCGCCCCCGGAGTACTTGACGCTCCCACCGGAACCTCCTCCGCAGCCTCCGGAGCCTCCTCCGCCGCCTCCGCCGCCTCCGGAGCAGCCTCCGCCCCCGGAGTAGCCTCCACAGCCAGAACCGCCGCCGCCGCCGCCGCCGCCGCAGCCACCGGAGCCGCCGCCGCCGCCGCCACCACCGGAGGTCTTCCCGAAGCCCACTGGAGGCATGGGGGTGGGCTGCTTTTTCTGGTGAGACATCTTGTTTAAGCAGGAAGGGCGCCCTGAAAGGAGAGCAGAGAGCATTCCTGGACCAGCCCCGAGGGTGCGGCGGCGAAGGCGGCTGCAGCCTGGGCGCCCGTCAGCCGTCGAGCAGCACCGCCAGGCCCGGCCCGGCGCGCTGGGTTCAGACCCGGGAGAGCTCTCCAGGGCTCTCCTAGGATTAGTGCTTGCAGAACAGAGTTGCGCTCACCTCAGGAAGTCTTCACTAAGCTTTAAAAAGACCAGGTAGTGTTGCCCATTTCTTTCTCCTGGCTCTGCCTCGGACGTCTGCTAGGTGATTTGGGGGCAAATAACCCTCACTCCCTCCTCTGTACGCAATTCTTGTAAAATGAGAGGGTTAGGGCACTTTATCTCTCTGGTCTTGAATCCTAACAAGAATTCTCCCAATGCAAATAGAAGTTAGCACAAACCTCCACCTACAGGGGGCTGTGTGTGTGTGTTACCCATCCCTGGCACAACAGAGGGAGGCTTGTCTGAATGTCAGGAGGCTGTTGCTCCCCACTCCCCGTTCTCTGCAAAAGCTCTTAGGTCAGGGGCTCCTGGGTGGCTCAGTCACTTAATCTTCAGACTCTTGATTCCAGCTCAGTTCATGATCTTGGGGTCATTAGATCAAGCCCAGCAGTAGGCTCCTCATTCAGCAGGGAGTCTTTAAGATTCTCTCTTTATCTCTCTCTCTCCTCTCCCCCCTGCCCCCCTCTCCTCCTCTAAAATAAATAAATCTTTAAGGAAAAAAAAAAAAAAAAGCTCACTGAGCCTAGCCATGATACCTGAACTAGTTATCAGAAAAGGCTTCTCCCTGGTCCTGTCTGGACACAGGGGAAAGGACCCAGTGGTCCTTTGGACCAACATTTCTGACCCGAAGAGGTAGGCTTTGCTTACATCCAGGCTTGGTTGAGGGACCATTGCTAGTAGGAAGTTGTGTCCCAGCATCTCACACCATTTCTCTCCCAGCACCGGGTTCCTGTGCTTCCCCAAATCTCCCCCATTGGCAGCATTCTCTGAATTACTCTCCCTATTCTCCCTTACTCCCTGGAAGTAAGATAGCCTCTCCTCCTGACACGTGGCACAGGGTTCATCCTGCCCACTCACAGGAGCAGTCTGCAGAATGTCCCTCTGTGCCCATCACTGGCCTGCTCCTACTGGGATGCCAGAGAGACAGGAGATACTCTTGCCTTTGTGGAGTTCCCATTCTGGCCAGAAGATTAGAGACACCATCTGCACAGCAGGAGCTCACCACTACCACCCGCCCCCCAACTTCCAACCTGAATTCCCTCTAAACATGAATGCACTTGGAAAGGCAGAGGTCTTGTAGCTTCCAAAGAGGAGGGCCTTGCAGGTCTGTCTCTTGGTCTACCTAGCTGCAGCAGGGCTGGAGAAGACTAGCTGGGAAGACAAGAGCTAGAACTCACACTTACCTGAAGCACAAGGGGCTGAGTGTGGAGAGGAGATGCTGGCTTCTGTGAGCAGCACTGGAGCTCCCAAGGTTTTATACACTGAGCCCTGACTCATCTATTGATCTGAGCCCGCCTTTCATGTTTAGACTCAGTTATGTGACCTATGGCTGTCACCCCACCTGTCTGTTGATTACAGGCACAGGGTGGCCCATTCATGAAGATTTTGGCATACTCAAAATGAGCAGCCTAGTGTGTAACTGGCCCCTTCTCTGATGCAACTATATGGCAGCAGGGATGGCTAGCCAGAGTGGATGGTAGACATTGTTTCCAAAACCTCTGGCAAAGACCTAGGTCTGTGACTCTTGAGGTGGCCCCAAAGAGTCACAGTGGAGATCTCAGTCCTTAGTGTGAAGAGTAGGACCTCCTATTTGGCTTCTAATCCCATTGCTTGGAACCCTCGACTTTATAGAGAGCCTGTTCCTTTTTTGCCAACAGTTTCTCCCCCCAGTGTTTCATGTGTGATTCACTGAGGTGTTCCTGTCTTGAAACTGGCATAAGAGCGGGCACAAGCCTCCAGTACTCACTTCTGGTATGGCCAGGGCTACAAATAATAGGATGTGGGTGTCTACTTTGATTTACTCCTGGATATTTATTCTTCTGAAAAAAGTGCAGATGAACAAGCTAAAGAGCTTGACCATGTGGTCCTTCCCACCATGGCCCTTTGGCCCTGGCATCCTGTGGTCTTGTGTGGTGACAGTGACCTCAGTCTATGAGGCAGCTGTGGAATGGAAGGGATTTGAAGTTAGGTGACTAGATTCGGGTGCTCCCCATGCTACTTGCCAGCTGTGTCACCTTGGACAAAGTCACAGCACAGGAGGCACTCAGTAAGTATTTGTTGTCTATTCAACGAAAAGGCTTCTGATGCTCAGTTACCTTGTCTATTAATAGTAATATCTATTTCATAGGCTCAAGAAGAGGGAAGAGTCCTTTTTATTGTTTTCTCCTATTGCAGCACAGTTTTACCTCCAACTTGGCCTGCCTTGGACACCAAGGCCAGAAGGGAGTCTATGGATAGCTAGAGGCAAGTTCTTAAGTAAGAAAATAACTCAAAAATTCTCCATTGACCCTAGACTGGTAGCATCACCTCTGTGTGTGAACAGCATGCTCCTCTCTTCTTTCATCACCAGAACTCAATTGCTATTGTTTAAGGTATGGCATTTGAATTTTGTTCCACCCACCTATGTGTTGAAATGACAGCTCCAATAATAAGTTGACTGTTAATTATGGTGGCTTAGTGATCAAGTGATCCTGATTAGAGTGTGGTCTTCAGAAACTTGTGGCACTAGTTCTAGCTTGGATGGCATGAACCCAGGCAAACCCACATGATCCCCTCCTGAGAGAATAGCCGAAGGGAAAAGCCAGGATCTGTTGGTGAAAGCATGTTTCTCAGCTTGAAGCTGAGGCACCAGGGAGATTTTGGTTTTGTGTGTTTTTTTTTTTTAAAACCTTCCCGTTGTAACTTTTTTTTTTTTTAAGATTTTATTTGTTTATTCATGAGACACACACAGAGAGAGGCAGAGACCCAGGCAGAGGGAGAAGCAGGCTCCATGCAGGGAGCCAGATGCGGGACTCGATCCCAGGTCTCCAGGATCAGGCCCTGGGCTGAAGGTGGTGCTAAACTGCTGAGCGCCCACCCCCCCGGCTGCCCCCCAGGGAGATTTTGAAGGAAAACCGACTCCAACTATATGATCACCATGGGTATAACAAAGAATGGTTTTACTTAGTTGGTAATGTGACCAACTTCTCCCCTGGAGAAGGGGAGAAAATATAGATCATGTGCAGTTCTAGCCCTGATTTGTAGAATGTTGGCCCATTACTCTGTGTTCTCTAGAGGAAAATGTAAGTTAAAGGATTTCAGCAGTGCATTCTCAAGGAGAAAAGTCTTTAATTTTGAAATCATGGCCTTCCTACTTTGTGTGTGCTAAAATTTAAAGTGTTGGAAACTGCAGGAGGCTGTAGTTGTTTCTTTCAAGTTCTTACTTGACGAAACAAAAACAAAAAGCAAACAAAACACATTTGGCTATAATAGAACAGTTACCATATTGTTTTGAGGGAGATGTTACTATACTACAAAATTCTGAAGTTTGGGAACCTCAAGTGCAGGTTCCCAAAGCCTCAAAGAGCAATAATCTTCTTTTTTAAATTTTATAAATTAATTTTTATTGGTGTTCAATTTACCAACATACAGAATAACACCCAGTGCTCATCCCGTCAAGTGTACCCCTCAGTGCCCGTCACCCATTCACCCCCACCCCCCGCCCTCCTCCCCCTCCACCACCCCTAGTTCGTTTCCCAGAGTTAGAAGTCTTTATGTTCTGTCTCCCTTTCTGATATTTCTCACACATTTCTTCTCCCTTCCCTTATATTCCCTTTCACTATTATTCATATTCCCCAAATGAATGAGAACATACACTGTTTGTCCTTCTCCGGTTACTGTGGCCAAGTTCAAAAAGGGTGTTGCCTGAGTTCTTCTCTGGGATTTTGATGGAATCTTGTCTCACATTTAGGTCTTTCATCTATTTTGAGTTTATCTTTGTGTATGGTGCAAGAGAGTGGTCCAGTTTCATTCTTCTGCATGTGGATGTCCAATTTTCCCCGCACCATTTATTGAAGAGACCGTCTTTCTTCCAGTGGATCGTCTTTCCTCCTTTATCGTATATTAGTTGACCATAAAGTTCAGGGTCCACTTCTGGGTTCTCTGTTCTGTTCCATTGATCTATGTGTCTGTTTTTGTGCCAGTACCACACTGTCTTGATGAACACAGCTTTGTAGTACAACCTGAAATCTGGCATTGTGATGCCCCCAGATATGGTTTTCTTTTTTAAAATTCCCCTGGCTGTTTGGGGTCTTTTCTGATTCCACACAAATCTTAAAATAATTTGTTCTAAGTCTCTGAAGAAAGTCCATGGTATTTTGATAGGGATTGCATTATACGTGTAAATTGCCCTGGGTAACATTGACATTTTCACAATATTAATTCTGCCAATCCATGAGCATGGAATATTTTTCCATCTCTTTGTGTCTTCCTCAATTTCTTTCAGAAGTGTTCTGTAGTTTTTAGGGTATATTTTGAGAACCATTTGAATGGTAAATGGTTCTCCAACCTTTTATTTTCAGGTTGTAGGTGTCCTTCTGTCTAAAATGAGTCTCTTGTAGACAGCAAATAGATGGGTCCTGCTTTTTTATCCAGTCTGAAACCCTGCGCCTTTTGATGGGGTCATTAAGCCCATTCACGTTCAGAGTTACTATTGACAGATATGAGTTTAGTGTCATCATGATATCTATTTAGTCCTTGTTTTTGTGGATTGTTCCACTGAACTTCTTCTTAAAGGGGAGTTTTAAGAGTCCCCCTTAAAATTTCTTGCAGAGCTGGTTTGGAGGTCACATATTCTTTCAGTTCCTGCTGTCTTGGAAGCTCTTTATCTCTCCTTCCATTTTGAATGAGAGCCTTGCTGGATACAGTATTCTTGGCTGCATGTTCTTCTCATTTAGGACCCTGAATATATCCTGCCAGCCCTTTCTGGCCTGCCAGGTCTCTGTGGAGAGGTCTGCTGTTACCCTAATATCCCTCCCCATGAAAGTCAGGGACTTCTTGTCTCTTGCTGCTTTAAGGATCTTCTCTTTATCTTTGGAATTTGCAAGCTTCACTATTAGATGTCGAGGTGTTGAACGGTTTTTATTGATTTTAGGGGGGGATCTCTCTATTTCCTGGATCTGAATGCCTGTTTCCCTTCCCAGATTGGGAAAGTTTTCAGCTAGGATTTGTTCAAATACATATTCTGGCCCTCTGTCCCTTTCGGCACCCTCGGGAACCCCAATTAAACGTAGATTTTTCTTCCTCAGGCTGTTGTTTATTTCCCTAATCTGTCTTCATGGTCTTTTAATTGTCTGTCTCTTTTTTCCTCAGTTTCCCTCTTTGCCATCAACTTGTCTTCTATGTCACTCACTCGTTCTTCCACCTCGTTAACCCTCGTCGTTAGGACTTCTAGTTTGGATTGCATCTCATTCAATTGATTTTTAATTTCTGCCTGATTGGATCTAAATTCTGCAGTCATGAAGCCTTGTGAGTCTTTAATGCTTTTTTCTAGAGCCACCAGTAGCTGTATAATGGTGCTTCTGAATTGGCTTTCTGACATTGAAGTGTAATCCAGATTTTGTAACTCTGTGGGAGAGAGGGCTGTTTCTGATTCTTTCTTTTGAGGTGAGGTTTTCCTTCTAGTCATTTTGCTCAGTGCAGAGTGGCCAAAAACAAGTTGTATTGGAACACGGGGGAGTATCACTGGTCCGTCCAGCTGGTCTTCTGGGGGAGGGGCCTGCTGTGCTGATTTTCAGGTGTTAGCACTTGGGGGAGCTGCTCTGCCCCTGCCTGCTGCAGGGCTCTGCGGGGGTTGTTTACCCCGTGGGGCCCCAGGAGGAACAGCCGCAGTTGCTATGGCAGCTCTGGAAGCCTGGATTCAGCCCCCGCAGGAACTACGGGGCTCGGGGGGCTCTCGGTTCTCCGTCCGCAGGGCCTGGAGGCTCCGGGGCGGGGCCGCTGATCTGCTCAGCTCGGGGCAGGAGCGTCCTCGCTGTCCTGGGCCCTCCCGGCCTCTGCCTGTCCCGGGGGAGGCCGGATCCTGGGCTGTGTCCCGGCGCCCTGTGCTCCGGGGCCTGCGCTGTGGGATTCGCGCTCCCGCCCCGCAGCCCCCTCCGCGGAGCCGCCGCCCGAGCCCCTCCGAGCTGCTCCGGCCCCTCCGGGTCCCGCCGTGCGCGCTGCAGCCCTTAGGGAGCTCGGCGCACTCCCCCGGGGCGCAGGTGCCTGTTAGTGTCCCCGGGAGCCCGAGGGCATCCCCGCCCTCCTGGGTCCTGCTCCAACTCCCTGCGAGCCCCTTTCCGCCCGGGAAGGTTGGTGCAGCTCCTGCTCCTCCGGGACGGGGCTCTCCTGTCCTGGGGACACTCGCCCCGGCCTCAGCCCGGCTCCTCGCGGGGCCCCTCCCCCTCGGAGGCCTTTTGTTCCTTTATTTCTTTTTCCCCGTCTTCCTACCTTGATAGAAGCGCGAACTCTTCTCACTGT